ATGAGCATGCAATTTGTTATCACTGCCCCATTTCTGTTGCGCCTGCACAAATATGGCCATAAACCAATAACATGCTCCACTGGGAGTTCTTTACTGAAAGGACTCATTTCAGAAGGCATTGCCATACTAATTACCTCATAAAGTATTTAGCTGCGTACCCACTGGGATGCTACTTACTAGTGCTAAAACTGCTCTTGGATCCAGCTAATCAATTAATGTTCATTATAAGACCTGGAAATTCCAAGCAGTAATGTGCAGAGGTTATAAATAAGAAAGAGAGTCATTGAAAGAAGCACAATGCATGGTATACAGCATAACATATTGCTGATTACTTTATTAAGCCGCCATGTGTATCTAAGCCCATTTGTTTTAATCATCAATTTATCTATTTTGCATGCACAAGTGGCAGAAGCTGTAGAATGGTAGTTATTTGATAATGATATCGTGGCACGTGTTGGACATCCTGTCTCACCCAAATTGTCAAGTCTTGTTCTTTGTACCAGGGTAATAAAAGAAATATCTTTGAGTGGGGAATTATATTATACAGGCAACAGAATCAAACTGCGAGAGCAGAAACTGTCAGAAGGATCCACTTACCTTCACATTCGCTACTCTAGCACCACATGGAGCACCTACACTGTTTATCCGCTTCCTGCTAGTGGAGAACATGCACAAATATCCCCATAACACAATACAATGTCTGCTGCCTGAATGACAAGGAGGACTTAGTATTGTGACTTGGAAGGGGGCATATTTTCATGCAAGTAGTGACCATCTGAAAGATCACTGCATCAAAAGTTTAGAACAGCTCTGATTGTCGATGGGGGAATGTATGCAGTGCAAAAACAGCAAGCCTCTGGTGTTTGAAAATACATCTTGCCAGATTCTAGCAATTAAAATGTACTGTGAATACTACTTATGCTTCAAATCAAATTTTAGCATCTGGTGTCAGTATGTGCTGACAGCCTACTGCACATCTCTGTGACCAAATCCTGGTTACAAATGCTGCTACCACTTTCCGCACGCACTCAGACCGGCACAGTTCCTTGCGGCCTCGGCTGCAAGATACTGTGCCCATCTGAGCTGCTTCTCTCCTATCTGCCTCTTAGCTCCAGGGTCTCAGAGAGAGCAGAGTGATCTCTCTGAGACTTCAGAGTGATGAGTCATTCGGAGGCGTGGCGTGCTGCGTGTAGGAGTCCCGGCCGGGCTGAGCAGGCTGCAGGTAAGATAGTGTGCAGACAGTGTTCGTTCTCCCCCCCCTCACCTTTCCCCCCCTCCTGAGACCAGCCACTGTAAACAGGTAAAATAATGTGTTTTTTGTATCCCTTGGTTAGGTATCTTACAAAGCCTTAGTTTTCTGTCCTTAAACTGAACATCTGGCAAGGCTATGGGCATTTATAAAATTATATATATGTAACAAGCAGCAAATAAGACTTTAAAGAAGTCCTCAGTAGCCTCTGTAGTAGAGCTGCAGCTAACGATTATTTTCAAAATCGATTAGTTAGCCGATTATTAAGTTCGATTAATCAGTTAATCGGATAAACAATAAAAAAAAATTAAAAATGGCTCCAGTGATGGACTACTAGTTTGTATTGAGAATAAAATAGTGGAATAAAATAGTGTGGTGTGCAATATAGTGAAAAGGAAAGTGTAAAATTATACAGCAATGAATGCAGAATGGCACCGGCTATAGAGGACTACAAATCCCAGCAATAGTACATTATACAGCGCAATGCAGAATATCAGCAGCTTTAGAGGACTACAACAAATCCCAGCAATAGTACATTATAGCTGGTGGTATTCTGCATTGCACTGTATAATGTATTATTGCTGGGATTTGTAGTCCTCTATACAGCGCAGTGAAGAATATCACCAACTATATAGGAATACAACAAATCCCAGCAATACATTATAAATACAGTGTATAATGTATTGCTGGATGTGTATTCCTATGTATAATATACAGCACAATGTACCATAAGCTATAGAGGAATACAAATCCCAGCAATACATTATAGAGCACCATGTGTGGGAAGTGCAGGCTTAAGGTGCCCATACACTGCTCGATTCTCGTACGAGAATCGCGGGAAATTCCGCGATCGTACAAGAATCGAGCAGTGTGAACGAAGACGTGCGAACGTTTCTACTGTACGGTCGCACGTCTTTTGTCTAAGGAGCACGCTAGAAAACCAGCCGAAAATCGTACGATTTTCGGCTGGTTTGAACGGTGCTCGGGAGACAAATGCCGAACGGGCCGGTGCTCGCACGCGCACACAGCCCATTCAGCATTGCGGTCATCGGAAGCCCGCCCCTCAGGGGGGTGGCTTGCGATGATCGAGAGTGCGATCTGCCTGTCCAAGATGGGCAGATCGTACGTTTTTTTAATCACTTTACAACCATCGCAAGACTAAGGTCTTGCGATGGTTGTACAGTGTATGGCCACCTTTACCTGAGCAGTCTTCCAGCAACCTGCTTCTGAGATCGGGCCTGTCTATCGGCGGCTGTCATCCCCCCACACCTGCTCCTCCTTACTACATCTCCCCGCGTCCCTGTGCCGATCGTGGATGTGGGCGGGCGGTGAGTGTGAGGCGGGGAGGAGGTGCGGCGTGAAGAGCGTGGATGCGGGCGAGCGGGTCTGGCAGCGGCGAGCGTGAGGTGGGGAAGAGGTGCGGCGCGCAGCATGTGTGGAGCCGTGAACAGGGCCAACTGATCGGAAGAAAATTAATCGATTATTGAAAAAGTTGACAACTTTTTCAATAATCGATTATAATCGATTATGTCGATTAGTTGTTGCAGCCCTACTCTGTAGCGGCATGCACTGTGGAGCAAGTCATCAGTCAAGCATTCACTCAGCAGCTTAAATCCCTCTGCTGCCCCCACCAGTGCCTTCCAATCTCTAATGTACACTCAAGGACAGTGTTCTGAGACGGGGAAGCAGAGTGAGCAGAGGTGCTATAAGAAGGATTTGAAGGACAATACTTCTACTGTGAAATTTGAGGACAAATTGCTCAAAAGTTTCTGTCCCTACAGAGGTCAGTGAGGGATTATTTTAAAACATATTTATTGCTGGCTACATGTTTAAATTTAGGCAATCCAACCTTGGCTTGAATGCTCAGAACTATAGGATATAGACACAAGCCTCTGATCATTTTTACAATGAGAGTTATTCAAAGTAATTCATTTGATGTACAATGTAACCTCTCTTAAAGGCTTATGTTTTTCAGATAATCAACCTGATTAAAAAAGGCAACATAGCTATATATAGATGCATTTTAGTTTTTTTTTTTAAACACAAACTTAAATGCCTTTATATGTAATTACTACAATTACTGTCATTAGTATAATGCTCATCCACCAGTTTCACTACCACATCTGTTGCAGACGTTTTGATTTCTATGACAATACAAAAAATATTTCTCTCTGGCCAATACTGAATAGAATTTTGCAAATATTATGCACATCTGGTTATGACATATTTCCCGTGTAGCTACAGTTGTGTGCTCTACACAAAAGACATGTGCTTTTACGTTCCAAACTCCTTGCCGTGCACTGATTACTGCTGACAACCTTTCAACAATCCCTCAGTATACAAATACAGCCATGGAAACAAACTACTTGGTTTACTCTAAATCACTACTCCCAGCTACCTCAAAACAAAACAATTTTGATTCTCAAAATTAAAATCAAATGTGATGTGATTTTTCAGATATCCGCTTTCAGTTATGTTTTTTGTATTTTAATGCTCATTCAAGGTCTATCCCAATGCCTAGCAATCTACGAATTCCTGTTGTTAAGCTCTTTGGAAAGTGTATATGCTATGATGTGACTGAAATGGAGTAGAAAACAGCCTATATAGACTGAATGTAAAGAAAGGTGCTATTTACAAGAATCTTTCCAATTACATAGGCCAAGGGCAATGTGCAAAAATGGCATTGGCCTTGGATCTAGCAGGAATGAGGGCTCAGGATGCACTTGTTTTAGCAACTGATCCTATTACTTAGGGGTCTATTCACGAAGCAGCCGAAGGATCTAGCCATAGCTTTGGCCGATCCTTCGGCTAGCTTCGGCCCCAGGACCCCTTCGGTTCAGTAGAACCGAAGGGCTGCTGTACGGGCTATTCACAATAGCCCGTACAGCTCCCGAACTTAGCCGAGCGGCTCAGTCGAGCTGAAGGCATATGCCTCGGCTCGGCTGAGCCACGCTGAAAGCCGAAGTTGGCCGAGCGGAGCCAGCCGTGATCTTACCGCTGGCTCCGGTTACTTGCAGAGAGATCAGCGTCCCTGGTTACCAGCTAACCAGGGACACTGATCTCCAGACAGCAAACTCTCCCTGGTGCCCCGGGACTCTTCTGCTCCCGGCCTCCCAGGAGGGAAACACTGCTTTTTCTTTTTTTTCCTTATTCTGACAAGGTTTTTCTAAGGAGTTTTTTCCCGTTCCTGGCCGCCGAGGAGAGAAACACTGCTTTTTCTTTTCTTTATTCTGACACGGTGCCGTGTCAGAATAGTAAAAAAATAAACAAATGCTGATGGACCTGATGGAGAAAGGGCAAAATCATTATTATTTTTTTTTCTATTCCGTGTCAGAATAAAGAAAAGAAAAAGCAGTGTTTCTCTCTTTGGGCGGCCGGGAGCAGGAAAAAACCTCCTTAGAAAAACCTTTGCAAAGCTAGAGTAATGAGTACACCCTGTATTATATATTTATTTGTAAAATACATATTTTGTGAAAATAATAAAAAATGTCTATTAGCATAGTTACAAGAAACTTTTTTTAATGGTTATTCACCAATAGCTACCAACTTAACTTCAATAGCTTATGCTCAATTGAATGATGTGTAGCAAAAACTGTGTGGATATGGACCAGTGCCATATAGTAGTCCAACTAATGGAGGCATAATTCCTCCTCTAGCTTGCCATGCATATATGGTATGTAAGCAGATGCAACAGTCCATCATTTAATTTACTTTGAACTACATGAATGAAAACAGCTTTGAGTGTTCTTACCATTTTGGCATCTGAGTGCATTGGAGTGACTTGAGGTGAAGCACAAGGATTGCCTAGGTTGGGACCTTGCATCCCCATGATATTGGAGTTCATTGACATCTGTCTTTCCATCTGTGTGGGATATGAGAAAAGCTGTGACATAACACCCACCGAATCCATCTTAAGACAGTATGAAGTACACAGCCTTTTATTCAAGCAAGGTTACCTCTTTAAATATAAAAACATGAAAAATGCATAATGCATTTTAGAAAGGCAGCCCCCTTTGAATAGCCTGAAATAGAGAATTGCCTGCCAAATTCTAGGTATTTGGCTCTGCAAGAAAAAGCAGATGTCACTAAGTAATTTTACTTCTACTTCCTTTGATGAGTCTGATAATGTACAGTATGTTAGCCAGTGTGCATCAGGGAGTTTCAGTACACAAAATCTTTTGTTTCCCATTTCTTGTTTAGAGTAGGAACTGAGAGAAGCAGTTTAAAATGAGATTTAACCGATAACAGATTTGGGAGAAGGAAGTTAAAACTGGGTGGAAATAAGTCAAAATAAAATCATGAGAGATGACAACGTTGGGCAAATGTTAGGGGGTCTCTAGGGCTGTAACCATTGGGCATTGTTTATCCAGGTTGACAGTTCTTATATCATACTGTATGGTACCAGTAGCCTCTTCATGAGTGTCATTCTAACCATAACAATTGCTGTTGAGGTATGGGCAGGGGATTGGGGGGTTCATCTGGCCAAAATTAAGCACAGTTTTTAGGGGAGCAAGGGACACAGCTTCTCCCCCAAATAGGAATTGTGCAAAAAATAATCAATTAAAATACTAGTGACTGATTATTTTTCATGTTCTGTACATGTACACTTTAGGACATAATGCAGCTTTGTTTGCACAATGTTAAATCTTAGAATCTATTAGTACAGTGTGGGATGGTAACCATTGGTGGTACTTTATTCTTACTGTAGGTGATAAAAAGCAAAGCTAAGGGTTTATGTGCAGGTCAGATGTGAGTAAGAATTTGCTTTCTCTAGTGGCATGATATAAGTGGTTTGCGCTAGAGGAAGCTCTGCTGTTTAAACTAGCAGACATGAATCAACTGGTGCTACGGGTTCCAAGGCCATTTTGGACAAGGCAGTCTACCTAGTAAATTACAACCAGAAACAAAGGACAGAATGTGAGGAACCCTCTGACAGACAGGAAACAATACTAATTGTGGATAAGTCTTTGGGTGGGACAGTTCAGTGACAACTTATACAAATAAGGTAGTTTTATAGCAGGGTACATGGATGTTAATATTTATAAGCACTGATGGTACTTATAAACTACAAAGGTTGCAAGTTGGTACATACTTGATTAAAGTTGGGAAAACACTACACTGGTGTAAAAGCTACATTTTTACCACTACCTGTAAGCGAAAGTATAATTATCAACAATGTAAATGTATAAAGACTTACCTTGAGCCAGCTTCACGGAGCTTACCTGCTGCCTGTATCTAATCTACCTTTGTTCCAACTTTGCCTGTTTTGAACACATTTCTGCCTGCTGCCTGGACTGACCATTTGCTTGTTTATTGACCACACCTCTGCATGCTGTCTAGACTAATCTCTCTGCATGTTCCTCTGATAACTCTTTGTTCTACCCTTGCTTATTGTATCTGGCCAGAGAATAAGCCACTGTGTAAAAATCCTGGGGGCAACCAAGTACCAGAAGGCCTGCTTGCCTCAAGTGGGCTGCTATAGGTAAAGCTACACTAGCCAGCTATATTTTCTAACCAATTGTACAGAAGCTAGCATTACAAAATGTTCTTTAGAATCTGGCTACTCCTCCCACCTCTCATCTCAGATTTGCACTATGGAACTTGGCCATGGTCTAGTGTAAAGCGGAGCCCTTTAGACGCTCTGTTTTAAGGAGCTGGAAAACTAAGCTGGGTGTTTAACTTTGCAATATGGTGAAGTTGAGACCTTGACTGAAAGTGGTGGTTTGAAGGGCAATTTGACATAAGATATACAAATCAGAGTGTTTAGTTGTGTCTACCTTTTATTTTATTGTCTTTAGGCTGCAATAGGGCACTATTACCTTGCTAATTTAAATCTATGACTGTGTAGGAACATATGCAATATTGAGAGGTTTAGTCATAATGCTTAATCTTTTCGTCATTATAGAAACTAACTGACTGTATAATAATTCTAGAGCTTTATATAAACATTTAGCCGCCTCGTTTTTATGAGACGTTTGCCAGTTTCACAGCTGCCACTGGTGACCTGTCCGAAACAAATATTGAGATAAGCAACTGTGACCCTTGTCTGACATTCATTTACAGCATGCTTATTTGGGGTCTACGATTCAAACGCTTTATAGCCAGGCAACTAGAATTTTTAGCAGGAGCCCAGCAATGGCAGCCACTGTGCTATATACATGATAGGTCTATGTTAATGGGATTGCTGTTTTACAAAAAGCTAAAATCTTGAAAACTGCACTGTTGCATTAGGTACCACATGAAGCAGAAAATGGTAGTGAACATTGCCAGTACATTGTACTTGAGAAAATATTTCCTTACAGGTTAAGAAGGAAACAGTTGCCATTGTGTTAACTATGCAGAATTAACTTCATCCCCCCACGTTATGCCGATAACCTCTTGCTGTCCTGAACGATAAGTGCAGGCTTTTGTTGTCTTATAAAGGAAAGCTGCACCCACCAGAAAACCTTGACACACTCTGATGCTCCAATATAACTTTTACAGTAAACATGATGAAAACATACTATAAATGTAGTTCATTGGGAAAACATAAGAGAGACAGCTGGCAAGAACGATTACAGTGGTCTAACCTTAAATCAGGACAATAAAACTAAAATCATGCAGAGAGAAAATGTATTGTCTAAACTGTATATATTTATTATCAAAGTGACTGGAGCGTTAAAAGCATGTTTTGAAGCAGCACAGAAATTTATGGCGTTTTCCCAAGGATGAATATGGTGTATTCCCTGCAAAGTAATCAGAATCTGAAGGTTTGTGATACATCTCAGCCTTACAGAAATGGTAAGAGCTGCCAGAATGCCAGAATGTTACTAGAAGGAAATCTCCAGGGGAAATAGGAGGAGATCATATTTCTGCTCTCCTTGGCTCGCTCTAGTGACAAGCAGAATGGTTTTGCTTTAGCGTATTTATCAAAAATAGCAATCAGCGTGGCAGTGCAAAATAAACTCGTCAGTGGACAATTTTGGTGCTAAAAGCTTTTAAAATGTACGAGGCTTTTTATCTTGAGCTTTCAGGGGTAATAGATGAGCCCTTCACCATTTTCTGTACTGTGTTGTATGTGCTTTATAACCTGTCCCTATTTTACACTAGAGATTTGATTTTGCAGTCATGGTACATAGCTACTTAATCTGGGTGTTGATAAATGGTCATGCCTAGTGAATCAGGCGTGTCAGCTAGAGATACATCTGCACACTGCAATCTGATAGCCCCAACAGAGGTCATCTCAGTGCTGATCTCCTTTGTGTTATGTAGAAAAGAAAATCCTGACTTTTTCTAAGTGCAAAAAGAAGGAGGGAGGAGGGGACCAATGAAAAAAAAAAAGAAAAAGAATAATGACTCCTCTCGGAACACGGCGTGATATGTTTCCTATTTCCAGTATGCATTCCAAAAATAATTTCTCTACCACAACAGGCCCCATGGCTATTACTTCAAATTGACCAGACAAAGGATGGTTCTATGTTAATGAGTGAAATGAATGCAGGACACAACGAATGTGCACTCTGAATCAAGGTTACTGTAGTAAAAAAGCAATTTCTACTTCTATGACCTTAGTTAAATCTAACATAAAAACACTGGCAAGACTTGTAGGTTGAAATGAGAGCGGCTTTATTTGAATTTAATATTGCTAAGTAAAATTACAGAGCACAGAATGAAGAGCAGAAATACAAGAATGGAATCAGAGTGTCTTGTCTAGCAAAACAGCCCTAGAGATCAAGATGAATTAGGCCGGCAGGACATATAATCCAGTTACCCATGCAGAGTTTGTTTTTTGGAATTTGGTTGGCGATCCCATTCATCTCGCAGGCTATGCTGGAGCTGAACGCACACAGGACATGTTTTATTATTTAATAAAAAGGGCACTCTGGTCCAAAACAAAAAAGTATTTTCAGGCTGGATAACGTTATTGCCTGTCTGTAGCAATTTTCTTTTTCTGTGCTGACAGTGTCCACCATGGTATCTAGCTACTTTATACTAAAAGAGTAACATTTGTGACATCTAAAATCTTTTATACACATGGTCTATGTACACATGCTTTGCCTGCAAACTATGGGCTGAGTAAAGACTTATTTACCAATATCTGGTACAGCATAAAGAAAAATGCATCTACTTTAATAAAAGATTAAACATTTGAATTTACTACAAATTACAGTACCATACAAAAGTATGGTATGGCCGCAGCCTGAGTATATTCGTAAAGGAGGAAGAACGCAAAGATCCTTAATAGTTTATTGCATTGAATATATTCTTCCTTGTAATACACAAAAAACGGATACACAGATTGAATAATATTGAGAAGCTCTGCTCCACAATACTTCACACACTTTTAAATACGAGTCTGGCTGACCATGTGGTATTTGTTGGGACGGGCTTCATTTATAAATCAGTAAATTATTCAAACCACATTAACAGTCCAGACTGTTTCTACATATATAATTTAAAGGGATTATCATAAGTACCTAATAAAAGGGGTTTTATTTAGATATAAAAACTGAATGTATTCTAGGTTTGAAACGTCCTGAAAAATGTGAAAATAAATCAATCATATATGATTGCAATGAAGAATACGGCTGAATAATAGTTTTGCTTAAATGCATCCAGATTTCTGCCACCATTAATTAATTTAGTACTATATTTTTATTTATAAAGCAATGTCAGTTCACAAAACCTTGCTTTACCGCAGCTTACAATTCGATGCCCCAACAACATCCATATATACAGTATATATTTCATACACTCTGAGGGCAATTTGGTCAGAAGTCTGTTACCATTATGTTTTCAAAGGAAGGAAACTGAAGTACCTGGAGGAAACCCGCACAAGGACAACATACAAACTTCATGAACACTGTCCCTGATGGGAATCGT